GTTAATGCTGGCTCCCTCTGTGGGTTGGGAGTTTACCAGTTACAGAAATTATGAAAATTCTAGGGGTGCTTGAAAATAATATTTTTATGTATGTATAATTTAATTTTTATATCTGTTAGATCAAATTTATTATATTATTCAAATCTGCGTCATTTTTGAGTGGCTTTTTTTAAGTTTAATTTACAATAAAAAATATTTTTTTGTTTTGTTTTTGGTTTTTTGTTAGATAAAGTTAAATCCCTTTAGCTTTTTCTTTCACTTGCAACATGATCTATTTTTTTGTTTCTTTCCATTTTAGGATGGTCTTGTTAATGTAGGATGGATGGACTGTGCCACCCAGGACAACCTTTGTACAAGTTTGGATATTACAACAAGTACTACTGCCTATTTTCCTCCTGGAGCTACTTTAAATAACAAAGAGAAGAGCAATGTTGTGGTATGAATTATTTTAATTTTTTTAAATGCACACACACATTCAAATATTGTTTTATAAACAATAAACAAGAAAATCAGTTTATATCATCTGAATGTGGAACATTTAATTATTTAGAACAGATACTTAATTTCTAGGATTCTGTGTAATACATACTTCAGTTTGTAAAGTCTACTATAAGAATTATTTTTAAATTGACAAAAACCATTGTACTTTGAAACCCCAAAGGTATGGAATACATTCTTAGGTTAAATGAATTTTCATTGGTTTCCATTTATTTATATATTGTCTAATTGTTGAAATATAGATCATCGGTAGCTTTGGCTGGAACCCAGTATCTGTTTTTTTAAAGCACCTGTTAGATTCTGGTATAAACTCAGTTTGGAGATACACTGATGTGGCTCACCTTCCTAATTTTATGAATGAGGAAACTGAAGTTCAAGCTAGCTGTCAAGGAGTTGAGATAAATAATGAGACATCAAACAGGTCCCTAGAGAACCCCAAAAGAACAGACTCTAATAAAGGACAAACTTACTTTCATTTTCTGTTTTTTAATTCTTCCCTTTTTTTGGATGTTGATAAAGATACATACTCATTATAGAAATTCATATATAGTATAGAAATGTTTAAAGAAAGAAGCAAAATTCACTAAAACTAAATCACTAGTAGACCAGCACTATCAAATTTTGGTAAATTCCTTTCCAGATCTCTACTTAGGTGTACATATAATTATGATTTCAGTGGCACAGGTCTCTGCCCTCCATATATGTACTGTATCCTACTACCTGTTCAGTATTTCCCCTAGAATATTAAATGATGTCTCAGACTTAGATGCCTGTAACTGAGCTTCCGATATTCTCTCATAAATCTGTTCTACCACAGCTTTCCCAGTCTCAGTTGACGAAAACTCCATCTTTTATCATTCAGGCGAAATACTGTGGAGTCATTTTTGACCCACTTTTCTCATATCCTGTAATCATTCATCAAGAAAATCTGTGGCTGTTCTTAAAATCGTTCCACAGTCCACTTCCACTGCTAAGAGTACTTATCACCTTTTGTACTCTTTCATTATTTTTCTCCAGCAATAAATTTTAAGTTTGGATTTTTCACTAGTATATCCCAAAGGCCAAGAAGAGTATCTGAGTCATAAGTGTTACATGTAGTACATGAATATATATGTAAAAAATATGTGTATATAAAATGATAGTTATCAGCAGTTCCTGAATGGTAATTCATTGACTAAATGTGACACACTTGGTTTAATTAGCCTTCTCTTAACAGATATTTGTTATTTCTACTCTATGATTATAAGCTGCATTGTAATGAACAGTCTTGTTCATTTGTACTTCTTCAGTTATCTGTTTAGAAGGATTTAGCTGCGGCAATTTTAGATTCAATTCATATTGCGAGATTGCTTTACAGAAAAGTTGTGTTTGTTTACCCTGTGCCATCAGTTCATGAATATTGCCTATACCCTGGCCAACACTTAATATAGACTCTTACCTTCAGTAAACTGCAATCTCATATTTTAGTGAGACCTTTGGGCTTTTTGATATAAAACTGAAAGCTCAGATGCGATCTTAGGAAACATAAGTGAGTGATACTGGAAATGTCATAAACAGGAGTGATAAATTAAACAGTCTTTGTCCTGCTTAAAAGTATTCATGTTTAAAAAAACAACACTGTGCTAGTTAAATATGTCTGGAAGATAAAATTTGGAGACTGGACAATATCCTTTATAGATATAATTACCAAGTTTTACACTAAGAAACGGGTTTATAATGATCTAGTGGATTTGTCACTTATATATTTATATAAGCTGCTATAGGAGTTTTTAGTAAAATCTTAATAATAAATGTGACTAAAGTGAATGAGCTATGCTACTGAGGTGTGAAATAATTGTTTTGGCCTCTAAAGTCCTTTGGTAACAAAATATTCATATAGAGCTTTAAGAATATTGATGCTATAGATGTTAAAAAAAAAAAAAACAAGTTTTAAGAAAAAAGAACTTAGGAAAAACTGAGTTTTCTCTTCTTATTCTTATTATTTCTATCCATATGGTTATTCTCATGTCAAGCACAATTAAGCTGTGAATACAGTGGTAGTTTCTACAAGTTTTTAATGGAATTTTAGATCTTTTAAATAATATTTGAATTGTCAAATGCGAATGGTTCGTAATTAAAGATGTATTTTAAACTCTGTTTTGTTAACCCTATACACATCTTCTTGATATAACCATTGCTGCACTCTTTGTAGTAACAGCTGCTTCATTGAGAATCAGGCCAGCAGTGATAGTTCTATGAGAAAAATATGCTGAAGATAAAATATGGACAGAAGGAGATTTGTTAGAAGGGATGTACACCTTTTTCAGGAATTTGTATGTTAAATAAGAGACCCAGCTCTAAAACATATGTAAGATCTTTATCAGTATTTTTTTACTCTGCAAAATCCTAGGTAGTTTGGAATTCAGATATTATTTCTAAAAACCTCTATAATAAACAAGGTCCATTCCAATTTTCCAGTTATAAGTTCTCAATACCTATTAATGGTCAGAGTATGAAGTGTCTTGGATCACCATGTGTTTTAACAATTCTTAAAGAATTGGTAAAATGTCGGCATTCTATAAAACATGGTTAGCATAAAAATTGAACTGAACCATAATAGAGCTTTTTCCTGATGATTCAAAAGTCACTCCAGGTTATTGTGAGGCTTATCATAAAATACGCAGCACAGTTAATAGAAATTTTCAGTCAATAAAACACCAGATAATGGAATTTGTTTTACATCACGTTTTTGAAGGAACAGCCCAGTTATACAATTTTTAATAATTGCCAAAATATGATATACTTTTTTTGTGAGGAGACAGCATCTAGAATAAGTAGCTTGAAAACTTTAACTTCTGTGATTTTTTTTTTTTTAAGTTCTATGGAAACAAAAAAAAAATACAGTAAAATAAACATATTGATTAAAAAGATTACAATATGATTCTCTTATTCTAGTTTCTTAATTCATTGGATGCTAAAGAAATATATTTGGAAATAATGCATAATCTTCCAGAATTTGAACTACTTTCAGCAAACACACTAGAGGTAATATTTTTGTAATAATAATAATAAATGTTAGTAATATTTCAAGTCTTAACATTTTAAAATCAGCATTTGTTTTATTCATCACTACAGAAAAAGTAGCAGTGTCAAAGGATTATGTATCAGTCAATTCTAGGTTAAACTCTAATTGCTAGAGTTGCTGGTGGTGCAGGGTCTGTATTTTGTAAGAACTAACCAGTCCTAAAGAGCTTCAGGAGGCACATCAGAAAAGGCAAGATTTTGATCACAAAGCAACTTTTAATTTGATTTGGAACTTAATGTTCTTGCTTACAGAAATATTTTATATTGTTCACTGAGAATTAAATAGCAGCTTTATAAATATTTAGTTTGTAGTAGAGTCAATTATTTTTTTCTACTTATTGATCCCAGAGCTTTCTAAATCTATATTCGTAATAGAAATTTTGCTCAACCTGAAAAGGCTGACTTCTTCCACCTCCCAACTTTTTGGCTTAAATGTTGTTAAAAAACGTTTTTCTTGACACAGTCATCTACTTTAAGAGTTTATAATTTCGTGACGCAAACTTCTGTAATCTTATATAATTAATTTAGACAGCCTTATTCCAAATAAACTACAAAATAAGATTATGAATGGGTCTGAATATTTTGAAATAATGAGTAGGATAGTTAAGTCAAAGAAATAAAGATCAAAACTCTTAGAATTTCCTCTCTCTAACATTTCTATCACTTTCTTTAAAATCATTCTAAGGATCGTTTGGCTCATCATCGGTGGCTCTTATTTTTTCATTTTGGAAAAAATGAAAATTCAAATGATCCTGAGTTGAAGAAACTAAAAACTCTACTTAAAAATGAACATATTCAAGTAAGAAAAATGTATTCTGTTTAGCTTTCTGCTAGTGTGCTTTCTCATTTATTTAATACATAAAATTGTATTTTAAATAGTTTTCTTCCACAATATATGAAAATATTAACTTTTTTCTTTTATTATTTCTGCTTCTAGGGTCTCACTCAAACAATTTTCTTTCTTCCCCATCCCAATGTTATGTAAATATCCTCTACACTTTTAGAAGGTTGGATTCCTTAAACAACTTTATATTATCTCGGAAATTTCTTCCCAGGTTTTTGAACTCTCTAGGAGGCTTTTATTTTTTAAACTAAATTGAGTTTCTGTGTTAAATGTAAATTGATTATTTTTGTCTCTTCTATTTGTAGCCTGTTAATTTTTGTTTAGAAACTGTTGTTAGAACATTGTCATTTTTGGATTATCTTTGAATATCTAATTGAATGAATAAGATTTTTTCATCAAATTGAACTTTCTCTTTATACTTTAGGTTGGCAAGTTTGACTGTTCCTCTGCACCAGATACATGTAGTAATCTCTACGTTTTTCAGCCATGTCTAGCAGTATTTAAAGGACAAGGAACCAAAGAATATGAAATTCATCATGGTAAGAAGGGAAAAAAATGATAGAAATGTACCTATATTTTCATATAGTACAGGCATACCTTAGAGATGTTGCAGGTTCAGTTCCAGACCACTACAGTAAAGTGAGTTGTAATCTTTTTGCTCTAGAGAGCCTTGCCTTCAATTTGTGAAAATTACATCATCTAGTGCACAATAAAGTGAAACACAGTAAAACAAGATATGCCTGCAATTTTTAATTTCACTTTTTACCTTGTATGAACATACTTATAAATAATTTTTCTCTCATATTAGTAAATTTGTTTCTTGTGGGGAAGGATAGTTCAAATTATGTGTAGTTATTTGGTACTCTTTACTCTTTAATAAACCTTTTTAAAAATATTTTTTTATTTTTTAATTACAGTTAACATTCTATATTATATTAATTTTAAATGTACAGCATAGTGGCGAGGCATTTATATAACTTACAAAGTGATACTCCTGATAAGTCTTGCACCCACCTGACACCATGTATAGTTATTATAATATTATTGAGTACATTTTTAAGCTGTATTTTATATCCCCATGACTATTTTGTAACTGCCAATTTGTACTTCTAAATCTCTCACCTTTTTCATCCAGTCCCCCAACCTTCCTCGCATCTGGCAACTGTCAGTTTGTGCTCTGTATCTGTGAGTTTGCTTCTGTCGTGTTTGTTTTTGTGTTTTAAATTCCACATATAAGTGAAATCATACCGTATTTGTCTTCCTCTGTCTGACATATTTCACTTAGCACACTACTCTCTAGGTCCATCCATATTGTTGCAAACAGTTAAGATTTTATTCTTTTTTATGGCCAAGTAATATTCCATTTTCTATGTGTACCACATCTTTTGATTGGAGCATCTAATCCACTTACAGTTAAAGTAATTACTGATATAGCTTTTTAATTATTGCCATGTTATATTCCAATTGCTTTTGTAGTTCTTATCTGTTCCTTATTTTCTTGCTCTCTTATATGTCGATGACTTTCTATAGTGTTGTGTTGGGTTCTTTTCTCTCCATTTCTTGTATATCTCTTGTAGCTTTTTGGTTTGTGGTTATCATGTGCTTCATATATACCAAGCTATGTTCATAGCAGTCTATTTTAAGTCAGTGACTAAGTTCGAGCACATTCTGAAATCGCTACCATTTCTACTCACCCCCTCCACATTTATGTTTTTGTCATTATTTTTCACTACTTTTGCGTGTATATGTGTGTATCTCTTAAATTACTGTTGTGATTACATATAATCTTCCTACTTTTGCCTTTTAATCCTGTGTTCTAGCTTTAGTGTTGGTTGATCTATTGCTTTTATTATGTGTTTGTACTTGTTAGAATTTTTTCTCAGCAGTGTCTTCTTATTCATAGTTTTGATTTTTTTTCCTCTTTAAGAAGTCCCTTTAACATTTCTTATAATACTGGTTTGGTGGTGATGAATTCCTTCAGCTTTTTCTTGTCTGGGAAAATCTCTTTCTACTCAATATTCTGATCGGTAAGCAAGAACTGTGGTGACATTTCAGGCAAGTGAGGAATTTAAGGGTCTTGCTCGTTGACAAAAATAACAACAGCAGTTTCCATTTCAGTTTGCCAAATGTAGCATCTCAGCCATTATGGGCAATATCCAGACTTCTTTGGATTTTTCCTCCACTGGACTACCAAACATCTTTAATAACTGCTTTGTCATCTCTTTTTAATTTATGATTACACTTCTGCACTTCAACGGTTTGGGGACTTTAGCTCTGCATTCAGGTAATAGTTCCAATTCTTAGGGTTTGGGATACGTCATAGTTCCTGCTCCTGAAAAAGGTCAAATGTAGCAAAAAAGACACACAAACTACTATTACACAGTTAAGTGAATAACAGACATTGATGTTATGCCTGTTATGTGACAAGCACTGTTTTAGGTATTAGGAATGCAAAGTTTTAAGACATGGACCTCGCCTTCAAGAGGCTTAAAATGTCATCTGGTGCAGTTGAGAGGACAGTATTGGTCAGGGGGTGATATTAGAATTGCAGTGACATTTCAGTGCTCAGTTTCCCAAAGCAATACAGAAAAACAAGTGTCTGTAGGCCATAGGAACTGTATGAGCAAAGGCTTGCTTGGCCAGGTGAACCAAACAGCAACTACTGTTTATTCAGTGCTTTCTCTAAGTCACACTTTTTCTAAAGGCTTTGTGTACTTTTGCCTTTCTATTTTTTATATTCACAACAATCTAGTAAGAGAGAAAACAGACTCAGAAAGGTTAAATCACTTGTTAGCCCCATGACAAACAACTAGTGACTGATTAAAGTAGATTTTGTATCCAAGTATGTCTGACTCCAAAGCCTAGGCTTACAGACACATCAGATGCCACCTCCTCAAAGTGCTAGAAATTACCAAGTTTTAATAATGGAGTTCTGTTTTTACCTCTGAAATATTTCTCAGGTTCCCCCTCTTCTCTGTGCTTTCTACCTTATTTCAGGTCCATCATCTTCTTCATGTACTATAATATCCTCTGATACAGTTATCATCTCATAGCCTTTCTTGTTTACAATTGGTTACTTGCGTTATTTTCATTTATTGCCATAGAACATCTAGAACATTCTCATGTCACCTTTGACTCTCCTGATTTCTTTTAAAATAAACTTCAGATTTCTTAGCATAGCGGTAATGACTTTGTTTTGCTCACCACTCTTATCTCCAGCACGTAGTGCTGTGTCTGGCTCTTAGTAGCAACTCATTATATAGTTGTTAAATTAATAGAGTACATTCTGCCTCTACTGGTTTTTCCAGCCTCATCATTCACTTCTGCCCCTTCTGATAATCTTAGCTATAGCTACTGATGGATCCTTGAAAATACCATGTTCTTTCACTCCTCTGTGCCTTCATACAAGGCTTCTTCCTGCATTGCAGTCATTCCTTCTTGCCTCTCAAAATATTTAGTAAACTCCAAATCACCCTTAAGTTAGCCTAAAGCATTTTATCCCCTGGGGAATATACCATGAATCACCAAATACTTTTTTGTGTGTTCTGTCAGTAACTTTATAGCATAACTTATATTATTTCTTTGGGTTTAAGTAGGTATTGAGCATCACATATGCCAGTTACAGTATAGGGGAGAGGAAAAAATGTGAATTATACTTCATCTCTACCTTAAAGAACAGTATGGACTAGTTAAGAAGACATACAAGTAAATGAGCAACTTTTTCAGTGTCTGAAGTGAGGAGTATTACGTATTTCTGAGAGTAAATTACCCCAAAACTTAGCTTAAAATGGCATTTATTAACTCATACAGTTTCTAGTGTTCAGGAATCTAAGAACAACTTAGCTGTGTGGTTCTGGCTTAAGTTGGTTTTTTTTTTCATGAGGTTACAGGCAAGGTAGGTAAGGGCTATAGTCATCTGAAGGTCGGACTGTGGCTATAGGATTTGGTTCCAAGATAACGCCTGGGATAGTAAGGAGGCCTCACTTCCTCACTACCTGGGCCTCTCTGTAAGGCTGCTCACAGTATGACAGCAGGCTTCTCTCGGAATGAATGATCAGAGACATACAGACATATACACAGAAGCAACAATGTCTCATAATCTGATTTCCAATGAAACAAACCATTACATCCACCATATTTTATTGGTCACATACCCTGGTACAGTGAGTCCATGAAGTAGAGATCATTGGGACTATCTTGGAACCTGACTACCACAAGAGACAAGTATGAGTTACACTTAGGAAGAACACTTAGGAAGAATAATTTTCTGAGGTAAAAAAAAAAGCAATCTCTTCATTGAAATCTAAAGTATAAGTATTGGTTACCCAAATAAAGAAGTGGCAAACACCTCCCAAGCAAAGGAACCAGCAATTGTATTTATGGACTCAAAGAGAGAACCTCATTATTTCTTAGCAAGAATTCCAGGATAGCTAGAATATGAAGTGTGGGAAAAGAATGAGACTTGAGGCTGGAAAGAGTACCAGGCATCCAAATTAATGTGTTTCCTCTGTCAGGTAAAGGAATTTTGACTCTATACTGAGGGCAAAGCAGCAGCGGCATTTAAGCAGAGATATAATTTAACTAGTTTTACCATTTAGAAAGGTGGAACTGGCTGCCTAGAATGGATAGAAGCAAGACTGAAAGAAAGGAGAGGAGTTAGAAGCCTGATGTAGTCATTTATGTAACAAAAGAGAGCTCCTTATCTACAGAATGGTAATGTGGATGAAATGAAGTGGGCAGATTTTTAAAATATCAGTAATACAATATCATATAACTTGATGATTATTTAGATGTTGAAGAATAAGAGGAGGCCCAAGTTTCTGATTTGGGTAATTGGCAATTGAGTGAGTGAATCATTCAGTGAGGAAAGAATACTGGTAGAGGAGTTGATCGAGAGTAGACACCCCCAGTTCACAATTGATGTAGGCCTGGGCCTCAGGAGAGGATTTGGGGCTAAAAATGTAGATATAAATAATCATTGTATCAATGTAATTGAATGAGGTTGTCTAAGATGAACTTGGCTAAGAGAGAGTAGAGAGACAAGGTCAGGGCCCTAAGAATCACTTTTAAGGGATAGTCAAAGATAGAGGAATTCACTGAACAATTCAGGAAGCAGCGGTGAAGAGTAAGGAAAAGGCAGGAGAATGTGGTGTCATTTATCACTATATTTAAATATTTGTGGAAATCTCTTCTACTGGGCTGTGAGCTCCTTAAGGAGGACTTTATCTTTTTAAATTTTGCATATTCTATGGCATTTAAACAAAGCCTGACATGTAATAAGTGCTTGATTTAATATTGACTATTGAGTGAATAAGTCAAAGGGCACATGGGAAAATGGCCCATGTACTGGCTGAGACAGCTGTTACTTGCCAAGCCAAGAAGTATGTAATCTTTAGGCAATGGCAGATCATCACGAGTCTTTAAGCAAGGAGACAACATGATCAGATTAATGTTTTTATAAAGTGGTAGTAGAAATATAGAAAGATTAAAGACCGAGCAGAAAGACCAGCTTGGTTATTGCAGTTGCCATACTGAATTTAGGCAGTAGCCTAAATTGGGGTTGGAAATGGTAAAAGATGGAATGGATGGAGTTATGATGCAAGAGCAAAGAAAGAAGGCTAGAATTACTCTGGGAAATCTTTTTTAGGCACCGAGCAGATGATTATGCTGTTGCCTGTTTAGGGAAGGTGAGAAAATGAACAAGTTTGAGGGGAAATAACAACTTCAATTTGGACATAGTATTACGGTTGAAACGTTTATATGACATCCAGGGAAATTTTCCACTGGGTAGTTGGTAATACAGGTTTTGAATTCATAAAAGAAGTCTAGGTGAAAGAAACAGCTTTAGGAGTTAGGCCATAGTAATAGCTCAGGTAAGCATAAGAACTCAAAGAACACTGCAAGGAAGTTATAATTCTGCCTCTGAGGATGAAGGAACATTTCAAAGAGATCTTGACATTTTAACTGGTCCTCCAAGAAACAGAAGGATAAAGGAAAGAGTACTCCCGGCAAAGCAAACCTATGCAGCTATAGCATAGAGAATGCTAAAACCTCACCAAAATCAATTTGTTCATGAGTTTATCTTCCTTTAATAGTTTTAGTCTAAAAACTTGAAATGTTTTATACGGATAAAAGGCAGAATATGGATTTTAACTTTTCTCTCGCTCCATTTCAAAGGAAAGAAGATTCTATATGATATACTTGCCTTTGCCAAAGAAAGTGTTCATTCTCATGTTACCACACTTGGACCTCAGAATTTTCCTGCCAATGACAAAGAGCCATGGCTTGTTGATTTTTTTGCCCCTGTAAGTTATTTTTATCTGTCAAAATTAATACAGTATTGTCAGATTTTCTTTTGTCACAGCAAAAAGATATTTTCTAGATAACCTTGAACCATGAGGACTATATGTTATTCAGTTTGAACCACTGCCACATATTGCATGTAAGAGCACTGATGATGTACTTGCCCTCTAAGGATTAAGTATATACACGCATAAGATTTGCAACTCCTAATTTGTCTTACTTAGCGTATTGCTCTTTGCAAAATGATGTTTCTTTGGGCTCACTGCTTATGAGTATTTTTTGTTTTGTAGTGGTGTCCACCGTGTCGAGCTTTATTGCCAGAACTACGAAAAGCATCAAAGCATCTTTATGGTCAGCTTAAGTTTGGTACACTAGATTGTACTGTTCATGAGGGACTCTGTAACATGGTAAGGCAAAGTGTAAAAAACTTATTCTGATTTAATACTAAAATAAACTTTTCCAAACATATACCTTTATTTAGAGTAGCAACAAATTGTTTAAACAAATAATTTTAATAAAATGATTCAGAATTATGATGGATTAAAACATGGATATATATTTAAATGTAGATACGGTCTTATCAAACTCGGGAAAACATTTAGTTGGCTTGATAAAATTCATGATTTTTCAATTATTTAAGATCTTTATTTTTTTTAACTTAACATTACCTTTTGGCTGTCCATAATTTTTATTCTTTGGCTTTCCTCATGATAGTGTAGCTAATAGAAGGAAGTTAAAGCAACGAGCTTTTTGAGACCTTTGTTTACATAAAAATATTTCATTAGGTGAATTAATATATACTCTTAGTTCCAAGAAGTACTAGAAATTATCTATGTCATGATGAAAGTATATAATAATACCTATAAAATAATCTTGGGGAAAAAAATCAAATCAAGCCTTTAGATCCCTCCATGGATAGGAAATCCAATGACAGAGAGGAGCATGTTAAATGACACTATGGGTCATGCAACCTCAAATCCCGCATGTAGAGGACTTTACAGAACAAACACCCAGTTTATTGGACAGCCATATTGAAAGGGGGATGAAGAGATTATAGACTTAAAAGACATGTCATTCAAAAGCAAGTTTAGACCTTGTTTGGATGCAGTTCGAACAAACCAACTGCAAAAATAGAGAATGGGGAAATTTGAACACTGACAGAATATCTGATGATTTTAAGGAGTTAATGTTAACTTTTAGGTATTAAAATGTGCGTGTGATTATATTTGGGGGAGAGTCCCTGTGTTTTAAATATAATGAAATATGCATGGATGAAATGAAAATTATCTAGAATTTGCTTTAAAATAATAGGGTAGGAATAGAGTGGAAATGGGTATAGATGAAATAAGAGCAGCCATGAGTGGGTAATTGTAGCTACAAGAGTACCTGAGACTTTATTGCTATCTGCTTTTGTGTGTATTTTCAATTAAAATTTCTAAAAACTAAAACTTTTTAAAAAGATAAATGGAAAAGGGAGGAGAAAAAAGTGAGGTAAAGAAGGGAGGAAATAAGCAATATGTTTTGAAAACATGGAAGTAAATGGAAGATGAAACGTTTATGGCATCTGTATGAGGAATAATTTCTTAAAACACACACAAAAACAATAAGTATAAAAATTAATAAATGTGAATGAATTTGGCTACATTAAATGTTAAAACTATCGCCAAAGAAAGGGACACTTAAAGTTAAGATAAACAGCAGACTGAGGAAGTTTTTGCAGCATATATAACTGACAAAATCTTAGTGTCCAGAATATTTTAAGACTATAAATCAATTTTTTTAATAGAAAAAAATGAGGATGTTTACAGACATTTCATAAAAGAGGTTAAAGAATAAATATAGAAGTAAATGTGGGAAATACTCCACTAGGCATCAAGAAGGTACAAATTACACACTAGCTGCTGCAGATAAATGCACATGAAATAATAAAACATATTCATACAGTGTCAAAAATTTCTAAGGTAAAAGAATGTGTCAAGCCACATCACAAAATCGTTTGAAATAAATTTTTAAAAAGAAAATGTGTACAAATTACAATAGTCCTAGACCCTCCCCCATCTATCAAATTAACAAAAATTTAGAAATCTCATAGTAGCAAGTATATGAATAAATCAATTACCCAGTCACACAGTGGAATACAATAGCACATTTAAAACTAGATCTAGCTTTACCAGCATGGGTAAATCTCATAAATACAATATAAACTGAAAACAGTTTATAGAATAGTCTACAGACTATGATAAAATTACAGAAAAATTTGAAATGCTCAAACATTACAGTACACTACTTAGGGGTACATATACATGTAGCAAAAATATAAAAACATCAAACACTTATTTTAGGATATTGATTGTTTCTAGTGTCATGGAAGGAATGAAATGGGATCAAAAAAGAGAACTTCCAACAATCTGCTAGTGGGGCAAAAAAGTTAATCTTCCTTAAATTTAGGGGAGAGATACATGGGTTGGATATTTGTTAGATTTTTCTCTTTATTGTGTTTGAAAATTTCATTACAATAAGTTTTAAAATAAAATAAATAAGGTCTTTGGTTTTTAATGTCTTACATGTGACTCTGAAAAGATGCTAAGCAAAGATACAAAATTAATTAGACACACAATAATTATCTTAATTTGAATTCCTCTAGGTTTTCTACTGTTTTAATCTCAACTATTAAATAGCCTATAGGTAAATGAGTAAAATGTAAGGGTTTAAAACCATGGTATCAGTTCACCTGGAAGAGACCAAGCATCACTACTCAACTTATTGGTGAATCTGGGCCAAGTCACATATCCTTTCAAAACCTCAGTTTCCTCATCTGTAAGGTTGACTTAGTAATTTTAGCTGCTGGATATAATTGTTATGAGGAACAGATTAGAAAATTCTAAAATAGGATTGTGTATACCTTAATTATTAATACATTTCTTTATTCTTGCTTTTCTGTTTTCTTGATTTTCTTCTACCTGGACAAATTGGAATATTTATTACGGTTTCGAAAAAAAGACTTAAGCTAGAGATTAGCCTCAAGCATCTCAGGAGAATGAAAAGAGACCAAGCTCATAATTACCCATGCTCACTTATCTGTGTTTCATGTCTATGGATTTTATGCCTAATGGAGTAGCTATAAATAGGGATCAGGTATTCATCAGTACAATGGTGAATCCATTTGCTTTGCTAAATTTGTTCAGGCTAAAATTTTTCAGTCACTAGCAATTTAGCAATGGGTTTTTAAAATCTTGTTGTCACTTAGATAAAGGTATGCTGGTTATAAATTTGAAACAAATAGGTAAAATGTATAAAATCTTACTTAATTTGTATTCTCATTCTTAACAGTATAACATTCAGGCTTATCCAACAACAGTGGTATTTAACCAGTCCAACATTCATGAATATGAAGGACATCACTCTGCCGAGCAGATCTTGGAGTTCATAGAGGTATTTTAAATTAATTTAATTCTATAGTATTATAAATTATAGAGGTATAACAAATTATTTTAAGTTCATGGCTATAAATCCTTCTGTGTATGTGTATACTTTGTATAAATACTTAATGACAGTACTTATTCCTTTTATGCCAAACCTTTTCTGAAAAGAAAATGAATTCCTTAAATTTTTCTAATGTTTTATTATGTACTCACTATAAACTCTGAGAATAAGTCTGTGTTTTGTTTGATACATAGTTCAGTGCCTTGTACTTAGTGGACACTAATATCGAATACATGAAATTATACTTCCACATAAAGCTTTGCTCCCCTCCTTTCCCTGTTTTCTCTGATGGACCCAACCACCGATTACTTCTTTTAGGCCCATATAGATGAGACAGGAGTGAGCCCAGTATTATTCAGGAAATGTGTGAGTAAGGGCAGTCTTACCCCCACCCCACCCCCTCACCCCCCAACAGAGGGCCTCTTTCAAGCCTGGGCAACTATGCCCGGCCTAGATTACTAGCACAGAAGTGCTACCCATCAATAGCATCGCCTTCTCCCCCCGCTTCCCCCAATAATAATCTTGATTGACTAACATAGTTAACAGGGGCCTTCTGAGAATGAAAAATTTTGCTTATTTGCTTAAGTAATGACTATTCTATTTTCTACTCTACTCATCTCTCCCTCCTCCAGAGTAATAATTTTTGGGTTTGTGTTTTGGTTTTATTTCCCCCAGTGAAGCTAACATCTTTGTTGATATTACCTGATCATGATATACTGAAGCTTTGTTAAAACATTTGGAGGAAGTGCTCTGTAGAGAGGTTGTGTAGTATCTCCAGTCAGAATGTTGGAAAAGTAGAATAGTAGGCTTTACATTATTAATTAAAGGGCCATTTCCAAACCAATCATTGGTTTCGGAACAGAACTATATGGCTATGTAGACATCTGGGCAGCTCTTGGAAATCTTGCCTCATCTACCCATAATCTCAGAGTTGCCTCTTTTCCCTTCCCTAAGATTATTTTATCAATACAAGGAATAGGAAGAAAATATACCTTGATTTAAGAAGACAAATGGTCAAATCTCAAACTTAAAAAGTTAGGGATCATGTCTTCCTTTTTAAAATAATTCACTATAGAATCTCTTTAAGATATCCTTAAGTATATTTTTATTATTCAAAAGCAAACTTTTCTAAATGACAGATACCAACAATTTACCAAAATTTTATGAACAACTCTTTTTTTATATCTATTGTAATGAAAGCTGTGTTATCTTAGGATCTTATGAATCCTTCAGTGATCTCCCTGACACCCACCACGTTCAATGAACTAGTTAAACAAAGAAAACATGATGAAGTCTGGATGGTTGATTTCTATTCTCCATGGTGTCATCCATGTCAAGTTTTAATGCCAGAATGGAAAAGAATGGCCCGGGTATAGTAAAATAGTTTATTTTCAATCTTAACATTTACTAAGAATGTTTATTTAACAGAATTATTTTGAAACTGAGATGAGTGAACCCACTTCTGGATTATAACTTAATAACAATTTTGATCATACCACTTAGATTTCAATTCAGTTTCTGTCCGGTATTTGAATGGTATAGAATAATCTACCTTTTTTTGCGTCTTACTCCATACAGATTTGACCAAATTTCTACCGAAGTCAACCCAAAGTTCTCCATTTTCTAATAAAATTTTTCTACTTTTTTATTTTTAGAGCTTAAATATATAGTTTCATCACAATATTGTAGAACTTCAAAGAAAAAATAGCCTCAATCAATAAAACATTTAGATTTTTAAAATTTTATACAAACAGTGTTATATATCATGAAAGATTGGAAAGAAATGTAAATACCAGAATGGAAAATGCAATGACTTGTTTATATTTATTTTTAAGAGAAAAAAATAAAGCTAACAGTTAAAAGTGATTTCTAGTATCTTAACATTTAAGATAATATAATTTTATGCTATTTTCAGTAAAATTTTTAAATTTGAGAATGAGTCAGTATGCTACCTGCAACCCATGTCTTCATTTGAAAAAGTAACTCTTGAAATACCATTGGAAAGTCCTTTATTAGTTCTTGGTTTCTAACATTTTGAATTTTAGGAATAAATTATTTTCCCAGTTTAATAGGTGAATGAAATCAACTGTTTAATATGCAAAATTGTAGTAAGTTCTTGACTACAAAATTAGATTTCCAGGTTATTGCTGTAAATGTTCTATGTGTTTTAATTTGATGAAAGTAACTGATAAATAGTATAATTGTCTCGTAGTGACAGTTTCTCTGTTGTAAACATATATAAAATAGTTATGGAGGTAATTTTATTCTAATCACTTTGATCTATTTATCTTCTCTTTTTTACAGACATTAACTGGACTGATCAATGTGGGCAGCATAGACTGCCAACAGTATCATTCTTTTTGTGCCGAAGAAAATGTTCGGAGATACCCTGAGATAAGATTTTTTCCCCTCAAATCAGATAAAGCTTATCAATATTAGTAAGTATTGTCTAAAATTTGAAGACACTATTATAGTCATTTATTTATAGTTAAAAGTTATCCTAACTAAATAGGATACTTAGTTAATCCAACAAATATTTTGGGGGGCTCAACATGTTTAAGATCATGTTCTAATGAGACTTTCAGAAGATGAAAAGATAATTGAACAGTCCACTGTTCATGAAGCTGCCAATCTAGTAAAAAAGATAAGGAGAGAACAAACTAACATTTATTAAGTCCCTATTTGGTTTGAGGTATATACTAGATCTTTTGCTCACATTATTTCCGCTAGTCCTCACACATACCCTGAGAAACAAAAATTATTACCCTTCCTACTATTACAGATAAGTAAACTGATTCACAGACCTTAGATAACTTAGATAACAGCTACTAAGGCTTGAAGCTAGAGTTTGAACCCAAGTCTGTGTCAGTGCCCATACTGTTTCCACAACACCACATGGTTTTTCAGGTAGAAAACTCAAAAAATCAAGGCAGAATTTGATGACGATTATTTAAAAAGTAAAAATGAACCATAGATTTCAAAGGAGGAAGGGATCAAAACTGTAAGAAATCGTAAAACATTTCTGAGGTGGCTTTTGACATTGCTCTTAAAAAGTGGGTAGGAATTTTACAGACAACTGGAGTAAAGGTTCGGGAACTAAAGTTTTGGACATTTTGCGTTTTGTCATTCCCATGGGTCTATAGTAGATTTCCATCAGGCAGCTAGACATTCAGACTGGAGCTCAAAAAGACATGTAAGACTAGAGAAAAATATATTTGGGAAGCCAAGCAAGCAGAGTTTGAAGCTACATAATATCTGAGAAGAGAGATGCTACATGAAATCATTTGCCTAAACTCATCTTTTAAATTACTACAATGAGATTGTTTTTTGAACATATTCAATAATGGGAAATACTATTTACAACTTACATATTTTTTCTGTTTTCAGTAGTTACAGTGGTTGGAATAGGGATGCCTATTCTCTAAGAATCTGGGGTCTAGGGTGAGTAATTAAAATATGTATCATTGTATAAAAGTAGATTTAATGCTATTTACCTTCCTCTTTTGTCTGTAATGAAATTTACTGTGAGTTGTTTAAGATTTTAGCATTTTAAAGTACTTAGTAAAGAATTATAATTTACCAAAATAAGGTTGTACTTTTTTATATTGTCATTCTTCGAAGTCATTTTTAACTTAGAAAGTTTTACAATATTATATTGTAGAAGTTTGCTTTGGTTTTGTATAATGAAAAATAATTTTGATTCCTTGACACAGATTTTTACCTCCGGCATCCATAGATCTAACACCTCAGACCTTCAATGAAAAAATTTTACAAGGAAAAAATCATTGGGTAGTTGACTTCTATGCTCCTTGGTGTGGACCTTGCCAGAATTTTGCTCCAGAGTTTGAGCTCTTGGCTAGGGTAAGTCTTGTCTATCTACTAAAATAAATTGTATTTACATGCATATTTCAGTAATTAGATAAAACATTTTTCTTAAGTTTCCTCTGAAATTTAAAAGCTCCATTTTTTTATTTCTATGACTATAATCTTTGCAGTAGATTTCATCCTTTATTAAAACATTTAGCTAACATCTTCTCTGCCTTGGCTGACTATATCATCTAACATTAACAGCCAGAAGCCTCATTTCTCCTGCTTTTTCCCTATTTTCTTCCCGTACCACCTTTACTCTCCTACCCTCTGGGCAATCAGTAATCCTAACAGTTCTATCTCCTAAATGCCTTTCAAATCTGTCATCTCCTGTCCATGGCCTCTGCTAGCCTCTTGGTTCAAGCCTTTATCATTGTTCACCACCTTATCATACGTGCCTCTTAAATCGTCTCATCTTGCCAGTCTGCGTTCTTCAGTTCTGCCCCAGTGATCTTTCTAAAATATTGCCATCTTTAGCTTCCTGTTAACCAAGTTTCCTTCACTTGTATTTTTGACTACAGGTCTCTGATCTTATTCTTCCTAACTCTTCAGTTTTATCTCTATCCTCCACCCTACACTTTATACTGCAGGCACAACAAAGTACTCCAGGTGTGCAGAACAAATACCACCATGTACATACTGTTTCCTCTCTCTAAATGGCTTTTCCTTACCTTAGTCATCTGGATTTTTTCTCCTTATCCTACAAAACCCAGCTCTAGTAACACTCCTGTGTTCTTTGCCCTTCTCAGTTAAATAGTATCACCTTGATATCTTATACTCCATCAGTGTACTTATTCAATGCATATTCATTATTTGTCTCCTCCATAAGACTGTGAGATTCTTGAGGGCAAGGTACAGGTCTGCTTTATATTTATATCCCAAGTATCTAATTCAGTTAATACCTATAAAACTGAATACATAAACTGAATACAGTCTAAGTTTTTGGTGTTTCTTTCTTAACAGTCCTGTTAATGACCTAATCTGGATTGATAAGTTCCTTGCCTCTATATTCAAAAACCTTTGCCAAGGGCTACAAAACACTCATTAGAATGAGAAAATCAGCTCCAGTTCCACCAGTCTAAACAGCTGAACATTCCAAGCATAGTGATTTCAAAACTTATGTGAGTCATAAAATATTTTAGCTATTGAGTGGTCCTTCAAATAAGAGGTTATTCATTTTTACCACTAATGTCTTCTTTTCCTCTTAAGCTGCATTTTTTTCAACAATTCTCTTTTGTTGTTGTTAAATTTATTGGAGTAATGTTGGTTAATAACATTATATAAATTTCAGGTGTACGACTTGATAATCCAACATCTGTATACTCTATTGTATGCTCACCACCCAAAGTCTAGTCTCCTTTCATCACCTTGTATTTGAACCCCCCTTTATCCACTTTGTCCTCCTCCCACTCCCTTCCCCTCTGGTAACCACCATTCTGTTGTCTGTATCTATGACTATTTTATTTTATTCACTTGTTCTTTTTGTTTTATATCCCACATATGAGTGAAATCAGAGTTCTTGTCTTTTTCCACTTAGCATAATACTCTCAAGATCCATCCATGTTGTCACAAATAGCAATATTTTGTCTTTTTTATGGCTAAATAGTATTCCATTATATATACGTACTACATCTTCTTTATCCAGTCCATCAAAGGACATTTAGTTTATTTCTGTGCTTTGTCTATTGTGAATAATGCTGCATTGAACATAGGAGTATATTCATCTTTACGAATAAGTGTTTTCACATTTTTTGGGTGGATCCCAGAAGAGGGATTATTGGGTCATATGGTCACTCATTTAATTTTTTGAGGAACTTCCATATAGTTCCCATAGTGGCTGTACCAGTTTACATTCCCACCAGCAGTGTGTGAGGCTTCCCTTTTCTCCACATCTTCAACACTTATTATTTCTTGTTTTATTGCTCCTAGCCATTCCAACAGGTGTGAGGTGAAATCTTATTGTGGGTTTGATTTGCATTTACCTTATAACTACAGTATTGAGCATCTTTTCATATATCTGTTGGCTTTCTGTATGACTTCTTTGGAATATCACCCATTTAGGTCCTCTGCCCTTTGATTAAGTAGATTGTTTTTTGTTGAGTTATATGAGTTCTTATATATATATTAGAGATATTGTTTGCAAATATATTCTCCCATTCGTTTGGTGGCCTTTTTATTTAGTTGATTGTTTCTTTTGCAGTGCAAAGTCTTTTTAATGTAGTCCCATTCACTCATTTTTCCCTTGACTTTGGGATCAAGTTCACAAAAACTCTGAGACCAAGGTCCATAAGTTTAGTGTCTATGGTTCTTATATATATTTTATTTCAGGCCTTATATTCAAATCCTTAATCCATTTTAAGTTGATTTTTGCGTATGGCATCAGATAGTCTAGATTTATTCTTTTGCATGTGGCTTTCCAGTTTTACCAACACCATTATTGAAGAGATTTTTCTTTCTCTGTTGTGTATTTTTGGCTCCTTTGTCAAAAATTAGTTACCTATTTATGTTTTTATTTCTGGGCTCTCAATTCTGTTCCATTGGTCTGTGAGTCTATTTTTCTGCCAATACCATACTGTTTTGATTATTGTAGCTGTGTAGTATACCTTGTAGTCATGGAGTGTGATACCTCCAGCTTTGTTCTTTTTTTCTCAGGATTGCTTTGGCTCTTTGGGGTCTTTTATGGTTCCATACAAATATGAGGATTTTTTTTTTAATTTCTGTGAAAAATGCCATTGAGATTTTGATGGGGATCGCATTAAACCCGTATATTGCTTTAAGTAATACAACCATTTTAACAGTTAATTCTTCCAATCCATGAACACAGAATATCTTTTTATTTCTTGGTGTCTTCAATTTCTTTCAAAAATGTCTTGCAGTTTTCAGTGTACAAGTCCTTCACCTCCTTTGTTAAGTTTATTCCTGGTATTTTATCCTTTTTGTTGCAATTATAAATGTTGCAATTATTTTTTTCATTTCTTTTTCTGATGTTTCATTGTTGTATATGAATGCAGTGGATCTTTGTATATTGGTTTTATATCCTGCAACTTTACTGTATTTGTTTGTTTATTCTAATAGTCTTTTGATGGAGTCTTCAGGGTTTTCTATATGTAGAATCATGTCATCTACAAATAGTAACAGTTTTACATCTTTTCCAATTTGGATGCTTTTGGGGTTTTTTTGCCTAATTGCTCTGACTAGGACATCTAGTACCATGTTGAATAAACAGTAGCAAGAGTGGACATTCTTGTCTTGTTCCTGATCTTAGAGAAAAAGTTTTCATCTCGTCACCATTGCGTATATTAATTGAGGGTGTTTCATATGTGGTCTTTATTATGTTGTGGTACTTTCTATGTCCATTTTATTGAGTATTTTTATCATTAATGTATGTTGTATCTTGTCGAATGCTTTTTCTGCATCTATTAATATGATTATGTGATTTTTTTCTTTTGTTCATTTGGTATATCACATTGATTTGTTTGTTGAACCGTCTTTGCATCCTTAGAATGTAATATTGGCCTGGTAAAATTAGGATATTATTTGCTCCTCTTCAATTTTTTTGAAGAGTTTGGGAGGGATGGGTGTTAAATCTTCTTGAATGTTTAGTAGAATTCATCAGTGAAGCCATCTGGTCCTGAACTTTTGATTTGGGGGAGGTTTTTGATTACTGTTTCAATTTCCTTACTAGTGATCGGCCTGCTTTGATTTTCTAATTCTTCATGGTTCAGTCTATGAAGGTTGTATATTTCTAAGAATTTATCCATTTCTTCTATTTTATTGAGTTTGGGGGCGTATAGCCTTTCATAGTATTTTGTATGATCTTTTGTATTCTTGTGGTGTCCATTGTAACTTTCATTTCTGATTTTGAGTCTCTTTTTTCTTTATCAATTTTATTTATCTTCTCAAAGAGCCAGCTCTTTGTTTCATTAGGTTGTTTTTTTTCTTTCTATTATCTTTTTATTTTAGATTTCACTTATTCTGCTCTAATTTTATTATTTCTTCCATCTGCTGACTTTGGACTTCATTTGTTCTTCCTTTTCTAGTTTTATAAAGTGTAATATTAGCTTGTTTATTTGAGATTTTTCTTGTTTCATGAGGTAAGCCTATAATGCTATAAACTTGCTTCTTGCCTACCACTCTTGCTGCATCCCAAAAATTTTGGTATATAGTATTTTCATTTGTCTCTGTATCTTTTGATCTTTTATTTCTTCTTTAACCCAATATTTGTTTAGTAACATGTTTAATCTTCACATATTTGTTTATTTTCCTCTTTCTACTTGTAGTTTATTTCCAATTTCATACCATTGTGGTTGCAGAATATGCTTGGAATGATTTCTTAATAGCCTTAAATTTATTGAGACTAGTTTTGTGCCCCTACACAAAACTAGCCTTGAGAATGTTCCATATTTACTTGAGAAAAATGTCTGTTCTGTCATTTTGTGATGGGAAATTCTAAAAATATCAATTTTGTCCATTTGGTCTATTGTGTCATTTAAGGCCATTATTTCCTGATTGACCTTCTTTCTGGGTGATCTATCCATTGCTGTCAGTTTCTTCCTTTAGGTCTGTTAGTAATTGCTTTATATATTTTGGTGCTGCCAGATTGGATACATACGTATTGATAAGTGTTATGTCTTCTTGATGAATTGTCCCCTTTAGCATTATAAAATGTCAATCTTTGTCTCTTGTTACCTTTTTTACTGTGAAATCTATTTTGTCTAATATAAGGACTACTACCTCCATTTTTGTCTGCATAGCATTTGCTTAAAGTATCATCTTCCACCCCCTTTACTTTGAGCCTCTTTTTGTCTTTGGAGCTGAGATGAGTCTCCTATAGGCCACATTTAGCCGGGTCTTGTTTTTTAATCCATCCCACTACTCTGTGCCTTTTGATTGGTGAGTTCAGTTCATATAAATTTAGGATGATTATTGACATATGAGAACTTATTACAGCCATTTTATGTTTTGTTTTTCAGTAGCTCTGTTGCTCCATTGTTTTTTTTCCTTCTAATTCTGTTTGCTGTTTCAGTTTGGTGGTTTCTTACAATTTCTTTTGTCCATTTCCTTTTTTTTGTTTGTTTCATGTCTCAACTCTGAATTTCTATTTTGTGGTTACCATTAGGGTTCTATAAAATGTCTCATACACACAATAGTCCTTTTTCTTCTGATTGCCTCTTCATTTACCTGTACCCGTTCAGTCCTTTTCCTCCTCCCCTTTTATGATTTTGTTATCACAAATTATTTCTTTTGATTTTGTGCATTTGTTACCAAAATGTTGTAATTATAGTTAATGCCCTTTTTTCCCCCCTTTAACCTTTTTGTTATAATTGTTTAATAACCTATTCTGAAGTAGATTTGCAGTTGCCTGCTTCTCTTTATTATCTTACTCAAAGTTTTGTAGACTTTTGTCTTTTTGTTTCTGGAAGAAGAGCTACTTTCAACATGTTTTGTAATATAGGTCTTGTGGCAGCAAATTCTCTCAGCTTTTGTTTGTCTGAGAAAGCCTTTATTTTTCCTTAATAGCTAAAAGATAACTTTGATGAGTATATTATCCCTGGCTGATAGTTCCTCTCTTTCAATATTTTGAATATTTCCTTCCACTCTCTCCATCTTGTAATGTTTCTACTGATAAATCTGATTATCGTCTAATGTGATTTCCTTTGTAGGCTATGGTCTTTTTTTTTTTTTTTTTGCCTGACTACCTTGAGAATTCTTCTTTTGTCTTTAATTTTTGACAGTTTGAATAAAATGTGTCTTGGAGGAAATATTTTGCGATATAATTAGGTTTTCTGTTAGCTTCCTCTATTCTGATGTCAGTGCTTTCCACAGACTTGAGAAATTCGCATCAATTATTTCTTTGAGTAGGCTCTCTGCTCTCTGCTCTTCTTCAGGTATATCTATTATCCTTAGGTTGCTGTTTCCAGTGTAGTCAGATAGTTCTCATAGAGTTTTCATTTTTTTTAACTCTGAGTTCTCTCTTCTTCCTCTTGGGTTGTTTCTATCTTCAGGTTTGCTAATTCTTACCTCTGGGCTGCTTTGTTTCCAGTGTTTTCTGGAATATCTGTTTGATTTTTTTTATAGTTTCAATCCCTTTGGTAAAGTACTACTTTTGTTCATTAATTATATTCTTGAGTTCATCAAACTGCCCTTCTCAATGTTATTATATATCATTGAGTTTCTTCATATCTGCAGTCTTGTATTCTGTCATTTAAATCACATTGCTCCTTGAAATCTGTAGACTTCATTTTCTTTCTGTGCTCCCAAGTTACTTTGGTTGTTCATGGTATTTGATGGATTGTTTCTGTGTCTGTGCATTTGAGGTAGTGATCTCTTTTCTTGTGTTATGTTTTGCTTTCAACAGTTCTACAGGTTGATGGGTAGGATACTTTCTTTTGTTTCCCAGTAGATGGTGCTATAGTTCAATTATTCGTTTTCTCTTACCTGAACTACTTGTGCCTCTGGGAACATAGTGAGGCTGCTTCAGTTAAAGTACCGCTAGTGGATGTCCTCCCTGTGACCAGCTTGCCTCAGTTATGAGACACCACCACTGTGGTGGAAGGATGTGGCAGGTGGTGGAACCGGTTTTGTAAGCTCCCAGAACTGTGTACTTTTTCCTTGTGTTTTTGGCTTTACTGGGCTGTGTTGGGGCTTGTGGGGGAGGGGAGGCAGGCTCACTATCTTGCAGGTCTACTCACCTGCTAGTAATAACTTGGCTACTGTTTTATTTGAAGTTTCCCAGTTACCTCTACGTAGTTCTGCCACAGTATGGAGGGGGCAAGGGAACTGCCTTTTCTGGGAGGGAAACTGCTTCTGCCCAGTCTCAGGCTCACAATGTAAGGGCTGCAGCCAACTCCTCCTCTGCTACCATGCTTGCTTGAGCTGTTGTGGATGCCATACTGCTTCTGTGGCTGCTTTCCCTGTCTTTCCTCCATCCTGCTTCCCCTTTCATTCCAAAATGCCCACCTTTGTATATCCTGATACATGGATCTCTCAGGCACGTTTGTGTGTTGATCAGGATACTCTTATCGAGTTATAGTTCAACTTGTTGTAAACTTAAGGGGAGAAACAATGGAGCCTTCTCACTCTGCCCACGATGTTGACGTCATTCTCCAACAGTGCTAACAAAATGTTTGAACATAGCAGAAAATTGTTAAACATGACAAAGGTCATTTATTCAATAAATCTTAAGTACCAAGTGAAATAAATACTGGGCTACAAAAATGGAAGGACAAAAGTTCCATGTCTTTAAAGTTTATATTAGTGGGAAAATAAAATGCAAATAAATATATGTACTACAACAGGATTATTGTTATAGTGAAATTAGAGTGAGGCAAGAACATGGGAAAAAGAATGTCAGAGTCATGCTAGGAGGAGACAGAAGGGCTCCACAGAAAAGTTAGTATTTGAGATAAGAATTACAACATGACTAGGAGTTGGCATTTAAGAGGATTGGCTAGAAAGTACTCTAAGGAAAAAAGACAGTATTTGCGAAGATAAAAGACATAAGAGAGTGGGGCATGTTTGGAGATCTTCATCCTTGGTCCAGTGCTATCAGAATATAAAAACTAGATGGGGAATGGCAAAAAGTGAGGTTCAATAAACAGGCAAGGAGAAGGAGGTTTAGTCCTTTTCCTCCTACTATTCATATTGTACACTCTTCCTCGGTGATTCATATAGTTCAGAATGTGTTCTGTATAAACGTTAGAGGAGAATGATTGGATATGGCCAAAACCATTTTACATTTTAGGCAGATCATATTGGATGGACTAAACACAAGCCAGCAAAGCCGGAGAAAGATATTTAGAGTACCAAAAACAATATGGGGCCCTTCTATAAGTAATTGAGAATACAAAGCAACGAATACATGAAATAAATATAGAAATGACGTAAACTTTAGATTTCTAGTTTTGTCTGGATTTTTCTGACCTTCGGAGGGGAGAGGTATGTGGATGTGTGTATGTGTACACGCATACATGTTTCTGCCTGCAGCTTTGCTGGCGCCCTAAATAGTTTGCCTATTGAGTACCCCAGCCTTGGGGACAAAACTAAAGGCAGAAAAGATTTTAGTTGTCCCAAGGTGAGAGATGATAACTTGAACCAGGATTGAGGCAATGGTGTTAGAAAGAACGGAGAAATACAAGGGAGATATAAGAATAGGATTTCGAGTTTGATTGTGGTAATGGTGGGAGAGGAAGGAGTCTAGGATGGTCCCAGTTTCTGGCCTGAACTGAGTAGCTAGGACAGAAGAAGAGTAGGTTAATATGATGGAAGGTTCGGTTTAGAAATGTTGTTTGTATTTAAGGTGCTTCTTTGGCTGAAGCCATCCCAGTACATGCTAGCCCAGTACATGACTGTGAGATTGAGGGGAGAGGTTGGGGTTCAGCATCATATGGGTATATAAAACCTCCCTGAGAGAGTGTTCACAGTGAAGGAATTATTGACCAAAAATAGAACTGTAATTAGATATTATAATTTAAAGGCAGGTGTAGAAGGAGGTCCCCTCTCTAGAAATGAAGAACAGATAGAGGGGTAGGAAAGCCAAGAGAATATAGTGGTAAATGCCAAGAAAGAAAAAAGAATGGTTAGCAATGTCAGGTACCCATTAAGAAGATTGAAAAGAAATCCATTCACTTGGGTCAAATAGAAGTCATTGGTGAATTTATGGCAGTTTCAGTGGGGGGAGCAGTAAAAACAGAAGTTAGACCAAAATCTGTTGATAAATACATAAATAAGTAAATGACAAGAGAAAAAGTAGTAAAAGAGTAAAGTCAAAAAGAAAGAGAAGCAGGGTGGTAGCTAGGGGAACCAGTGCAGTTATGGAAGGAATCTTTTTTTGATCATGTGTGTAAAAACTGAAGAGAGTAAGATTTGACAAGGAAGACCTGGAGAGTGTAGTTGGAGTGGTCAGCCTTCCACAAGATGAAGAGTGCTACCTTAGCACGTGAGACCAGAGAAAGGTGGAGTGAAGACAGAATCTGAGATGTTTGTGGTATGACGGACAAGGTGTAGGTACGAGGAAGTTGAGATAGTTCTGGGTAAAGCTTCTCAGTTTTCTTGTTAGGTCAAAAGAGTTTATTTGATATTGGGGAGGTGGTGCTGGACAAATAGGAGATTTAAAGAGCCAGTAAAAATTTGGAAACAATCTCGTTTTGAATGGTAAGGATTAAAACTAAGTTTTTAAAATAACAAATACTTAGATTTATAAAGATTTGAAACTTTTAGTATCATATTGCTTTGTGGTTGTCAAAATACTTTATGCCAAAGAGAATGGCAAACCATATTTTTCTTTTTTCAGATGATTAAAGGAAAAGTGAAAGCTGGAAAAGTAGACTGTCAGGCTTATGCTCAAACATGCCAGAAAGCCGGTATCAGAGCCTATCCAACTGTTAAATTTTATCCCTACGAAAGAGCAAAGGTGTGTACAGGCTTTTTCCTCTTCGTTTCTTTGTTTTAGCAGGCCGGCATCAAAAGATTTGTTTTTAGCGTTAGTAATGCTTTTTTCTTGTTTCTTCTCCGTTTGTCATTATTTTATTGCCTGTTACTGAAACAAACTCCTTTTTACATATACACTGTGATTTTGTGTTGGTTTTTTTTTTTTGTCTCACAGTTGATATGATATCCACTGCCTTAAAATTTTTATACTCACGAATAGAAAAACTACTAAAAAGATATACCGAAATATTAATAGTGTTTTTTTTATCGTTGTAGAATTCAAGGTAATTAATACTTTGTGAAGTTTTGTATTTCCTGCTTTTATAAAATTAACATATATTATCTTTATAATCAGTTTTTTTTCCAGGAAAGTATAGTGTACTATTATACTTTTGAAATAGCCTTAATGCCTGAACATTTATCTTGAGGAATGTTTATTAATGGTTTAGACTACAAAATAAAAGTTAGGGTCTCTTGCTTCAGTCATAATTCCTTTTTTTGGTCACTGACAATACCTTTTTTTTTTTTTTTCCCCCCCCAACAAGAAAGCTAGATATCTACCAGTGGGTTTTACAGTTCTGGTGACAACCTCTATGATTATTGGTACAAAAGCATATGTATTTCAGCCAGTATAATTGTCAACTGAAAGTAATCATGACATTTGTTGTCTTCCCAAGTAAAAGAATGACATTTCAACAACAGAACTGTGATAAAATAAATATTTGCCATGTACTACTATATTTGTGTTTTCTAGTAAAACATTTGAAATAATTTCAAATATTTTAACATACTGTTTGAGAAAGAATATCAGATTAAGCTCTGTTGTTTATTGATAATTATAATACATTTTGAAATAGAGCTAAATAAAGAAATTAAATGATAAATTTCAGAAATCTAGAATTGTCAGACATCTAGATTTTTCAGTGAATGACTTTGATTAGTTTAAGAGGCTAACTCTATCTTAAGAACAGCCTAGGGTAGACAGAACTTGAGAGTAAAGGAGCTGCTTATACCAGAGCCTGAATCTTCATTCTTTTGGAATTGCTATCTCTACTTCCCAATTCTCAGAACAACTGAGAAACGGGTGACATAAATAGGGACCTTTTCAAGTAAAATGTAGTTGGAGAAATAACACTATAATGAGCAGTCACAGAATTGACCAGGCAATCGAGGGAGTTCTTTGAAAGATGATGTTACCATGTGTCCAGAGGAGCCCAGAGGACAAATTAGAACCCAAAACATCCCTATTTAAACTGAACGACAGGGGTGGCATCCCGAAGTCCAGGCCAGATGAGAAGGCCAAAGCAGAACAATTGGAGTAAACAAATACCAGGTGGACAGTTATACAAAGAAACAAAATACTAGCATACACATGTGGGATTCCCACCAAGAAGAATGAAACAGGGCTTCAGATCCAAAATAAGCAGAATATATTGGGTGTATTGACTTGCCCCCTTCCCTGCTTTTCAGCCATCTTCCTGCTGTGGGCCGATGAGAACCAGGCCATTGCTTCCCATTGTGTACATAGTCAAGTTTTTGCCTTTGCCAGTGATTATATTAAATTGGAATGATTTGGGTCCTCTGGGGATGTCTTTTCTTATACAATTTAGGTGTTTTGAGGCATTTGAAGTAAGCACTGCATTTTCTTAAGGAATTATTTTACATGTTCCCATAACAGTATTGTTAATATTTATTTCAGTTAAATAACAGTAAACTGTTTTTGCAGCATTATTTCCTTGAAGAAATTCGAGTTTCGAACACTTAGAACTTTAAGGAATATTTAACCAAATTTCTTAGATGGAAATGTCATGTTTCGATTATAAGAAAGGTGTTTTTTAATTTTAGAGAACTATTTGGGGAGAGCAAATAGATTCTAGAGATGCAAAAGAGATTGCTACCCTAATATATGAAAAATTGGAAAATCTCCAAAAACATGGAAAGAGAAATAAGGTAAGAAGGACTGAGTCTAGAGCTAACTTTGGCAAACATTATTTAAAGTTATTCTTACTATACTAAACAGATCAAATGAAGCTTCAAAAAACAGTAAGTAGTTGGAAATTTCTTTTTTGGAAAACATAAGAATCAGAATATAGCCTCTAGACATTGAAATGCTTAGACATTTGGACAAGTAAAACCATTTAACAAAAAATAGTAACTGGTCATAAATTATTTAAATTTGGTTCAAATGGCAATATAAAGCATTGACTTGTTAGGAATAAATATACTGGAGCCTCATAACACATTTTGGATAGCAGTTTCTTTTGTTCTTGGTATAGTCAGGATGTACCGGAACCCTTACTCATCTTGGCCTCTCCTTGAATTTTTAATCTATCAGGAAGCAGTACAACCTTTTTTTCGCTATTCTTCACAAAGGCTGTTTATTTTTTTCTTCTTTAAATTGTCAGTCTAGTACATACGCAGAAACAGACCAGAGAATCCATAAAAGCTAGAATGCTTTCTGAATGGAATTTAATATAATCACATGAAGTTTCTTAGATTCTTTCCCCATAAGGTGAAAGAAGGAAAAAAAAAAAAAAAACAGCATAGTCTCTGGAGAGCGTTAGAGACATCTGGCTTTATAGAACCATATTAGAACTACAGACCCCAATACAGAAATTCTTAGCCTGCTTCGAGAATTACACTTTATCCAAATCTTAAAGATAGGAAAGATGTCGTTATGAATCTTTATTTTCTTGGTTTCAGTAAACAAAAATGTTTTTCCAGTGGTTTAGCTATGTTAGTTTTCTCAAGATTTTATTTTTAAAATTGTGACTTTCAAGTTAAACATTTGAAATAGAAAACACTTAGTCATAAACCAAAATAGCATAACTGAAATTAAGTTAAAGAGCATATCAGCATATGACTTTGGAAGTGCATAAAACTACTGGTAATATCTGCCATGAGCAAGTTAAGAACAGTGCAATATTCTTTTCCATTGTTGTATATAGGCAAGACATGTTTTTCATATGATTCATTAAATAAGAATATTGAATATTTTTGAGAAGGTAAAATTTAGGTTAGTTTATATTACTTTACCTTGTTTTTAATATTGTAAACTCATACTTTTTCAATTACTTTTACATTATTATTGTAGGATGAACTTTAATGATATTGAAGAAGAAAAAAATTAAAAAGAAATTCAGACAGATGACATCAGAAGACATCTTTTTAGATTGTTACTACATTCTTGATGGGAATGAATGAACATTATATTGGACTTGTAAGTGCACTGTCTGGCATGAATGAAGGGTCTGCAAACTTTTTCTATAAAGGGCCAGATAAATATTTTAGGCTTTGTAGAGCGCATGTGGTCCATTGTCACATGCGTTTCTTTGTTTTTGTTTTGTTTATAACCCTTTTAAAAAGCGTAAAAACTATTCTTAGCTGAGGGACATACACAGATAGGCAAGTCACATTCAGTCCACGAGCGATAGATTGCAGACCCCTGGAAATGATGGTTAGGCTGGCTGGCTTGAATAGAAGCCTGCTCTGCTATTATATACATATATGTCTAAATTGTACAAAGTAGATTTTTATCAAAAGTTATGGCTTGCATGAGAAGAAAGAACTTGGTTTTCATTCACTTGTTCTCATAAAAATTCTCCAAAATTGATTCTCGAATCATACATTTCATTTAAAAAATACGATGTGGCAGGCAAAATAAACAGATACCCTATTTTCATGCTATATTATATTGAAGAGATTTTTCATTCTTTCATAAAAGTTGAAGAATTGATTTTAATTTTTCACAATTGAGAAAAAAATTTTTGTAACAGTTAAATTCTATAGATTTCTACAGCATTCAGAAATACCTGAGGAAAAATTATTTATAGTAATTGCACATTGTAGAGTATCCCAAATATGTCAGGTATTTAGAGTTCTCTGTTTTAAAGATACTTGTTAATTTATTTTCTGAATATTTTTCATGAAAGTTTTCCCTGTGATAATTTACTTTTGAAATATGTTTCTAGTATTTATGTTTTTGCCTTCTTTGTTTTGATGAGTATGTTTTATTTACATTTGCCTTTTTTCTTCATAGTTGTGGTTTTTCACTCTGTCTTATCTCTTCAAACAGGAAAAATAACTTTGCAGTTTTGTTTTATAATAGCTCATAATGATACAGTGCTTATTCCAGTTATTAATTTATTGTTGGAGGCCACCATGTTCAGATAAATATTGGCACAATAAGCGAAGTTATTTTTGTAAGAAAATTAAGTATGCAAATCTAAGCATGGGACCTTTTAATTTTGCAGTTGTTCAGACTCAAAAGAATCCAAAAATTTTTCCTTGCATTTTAACAAAATATTGTTAAGTAACATGTAGTTAGTTGTAATTCAGGATGTGTGGAATGGTAAAAATCCCAATTAATCAAAATAAGTCAATGAACTTTTTAAAAAACTTTAGGTTTCCCAAAAACCTATTGGGATTACGCTTTATTATGTTGCAAGAGTTTTGTTTATTTTTTTAATATCACTTTCCTCCCTTCCCCAATATTTCTTCATATTTTATAGTTGTAATTTATAGAAAAAAATAGATTTTTTTTTCATTTTCAACTGTAACCCTATTTTTTATATTCTCTCCCATATTGTTTCTAGTATATTCCTTAACTCTTTCTCTAGGATTTCACTTTACACATGTAGACAAATCTAGAATAATCACCACTTCTGGCCTTAATTTAATACCACCTTTTTGAATTATGATCAGTAATGGCAAGTGCCTTTCATTTAATTAAATTTTCAAAGCCTAGAAAATTTTTTAAATTGGCTTGTTTCTACAAGAATCCTGAATGCAATGCCTAAAGAGGTCCTGGTAAATATTTACTGAATAACTCTACCAGTTATGTGAATACCAGTGTGCTGGACACTGAGGGGAGTACCATGGAATCAAAGCTATGGGCCCCATCTCCCAAGTGTGTGTAATTCACAGTTCTGACACCAAGTCCATAAACCAGATTATAGGTACCTACACTATTACCTATAACTGTAACTCCAACCTTAATTGAGAAACATGTTAAGCAGTAAATAAAATAGTAAGTACTGTATATCCTGTTACTTGGCCTAAGTAAGCACCTGTGGAATCGGCTCTAAAGCCAGGGCTACCTGGGAGTCATATTAATATGTATCATATTGGTAATATACTTCAGGAGATTATTTTCTGCAATCATATCAGTGTCGTTGGGTATTTCAAAAACAGCTGGCAGAATTAAAGGTTTTAATGGCCACATTATTACAACAGCACCTCCAAAGAGTACCATTTCTCTCAGCACCATTTTTGTGTGCACTTGGCCTTGGTTGACTACCTGGCACTATTTCTGTCAGACCAGGGTGCATTCAATCAGGCAGCTGGATTTGAAAATTGGATACATCTACATACGTGGCTATTTGAAAGAAACCATTTGGAATTTGTGTTTAGGGCATTAACAATGCTTGCCTATTCCAATTTCCCAAATTTTATTTAACATCTTTTATATCTTTTTATTTAAAGTATATGATTAAGATAAAGGAAAAATAAAATTATATAATGACTTTATATTGTAAAAGTTTTCTTTAACTTGGTTCTTCATTTTCTAACAGTATTCAAAGCAGAAATTTTCTTTGAAGTACCGTCATCAGAAAAGAATTACTATGTTGTTTCCTGTGAGACACATTTATAGAGCTATGAGAAAGTTTTTAATGAGATATTTTTAAGCCATTTTAACAGAATTTGGCATAATAATTAGTCAATTCTTACTCTTTAGTCTACCAATAAACCCAAATAAATGTCTTAAATTATATACAGCCCTTTACAAAGGAAAGCAGCAAAAGAGGCATAAAAAAACAAGGGAACTACAAACCACCCAGAAACAATTAAGATATGGCATTAGTAAGAACTTACTTGTCAATTATTAATCTAACTATAATCAAATTCTCCAATTGAACATAGAATAGCTGGCATAAAATTTCTTAAAAGACTAGACTGTATGCTGCCTACAAGAGACTTCAACTTTAAGGATACACATAGGCGCAGAGTGAAAGGAGAGAAAAAGAAATTCCACAAGTGGAAACCAAAAGCAAGTTGGGATAGCTATACTTACATCAGACAAAATAGACTTTAACACAAAAACAGTAATAAGTAACAAGATTATATAATGGTAAAGGGGACCATCCAACAGCAAGACATAACATTTATAAATATTTATGTACCCAGCATAGCATCTTAATATATAAAATACTAAAAACAAAGATAGAAATAGATAACAATACAATAATAGGGTATATCAGTCCCCACTTTCATCAATGGATAGATCATTTACATAAAATAAGTAAGGAAACATTGGACTTAAATTACATGTTATATCAGGTGTACTTAATATTTACAAAGTATTCCATCCAAAGAAGCAGCAGAATGCACATTCTCAAGTCCACAGGGAAGATTTTCTAAGATGGATCACATGTTAAGCCACAAAGCAAGTGTTAATAAATTTAAGAAGTTTGAAATTATATTAGGTATCTTTTCTGACCATAAATAGTATGAAACTAGAAATGAATTACAAGAAGAAGACTAGAAAAAGCACACATGTGGATCTTAAACAACCTGCTACTGAACAGTCAGTAGGTCAAAGAAGAAATGAAAAGACAAATCAAAAAATAACGAGACAAAAATGGAAATATATCAAACTTATGGGATGCAGCAAAAGCAGGAAGTTTATAACAATAAAAAGCCTACATACACTAAGAAAAAAGATCTTAACTATAACCTCAAGAAACAAGAAAAAGAACAAATGAAACTCAAAGTTAGTAGAAGGAAGGAAATAAACCAGTTAGAAATCAATGAAATAGGGACTAAAAAGAAAATAGAAAATGTTAATGAAACTGTGAGCCAGTGTTTTGAAAAGATAAAAATGACAATTTGTTAGCTGGATTCATAAAGATAGGACCCAAGTAAAATCAGAAATTAAAGAGGAGACATTACAACAGACAGAGTAATACAAAGGATCATAAGAAAGTGCTGTAAACAATTCAATGCCAACAAATTAGACAACCAAGAAAAAAAATGGGTAAATTGCAAGAAATATACAACCTACCAAGACTGAATAATGAAGAAATAAAAAGTTTGAACCAACCCATTACTAGTAAGGAGAGTGAATCAGTAATGAAAACGTACCAAAAGTCCAAAATCAGATGAACTGGCAAGTTCTACCAAACTACAAAAGAAGAATGAATACCAATCCTTCTCAAACTCTTCCAACACAAGTATTGTTGAATTCAGTTTGGTAATATTTTGTTGATTTCTGCATCTGTGTTCATCCTGATAGTTGTCTGTAATTTTCTTGTAATATCCTTGTCTAGTTTTGATATCAGGGTAATACTGGTCTCCTAAAATGAGTTTGGATGAGTTCCTGCCTCTTGAGGTTTTTAGAAGGGTTTAAGAAATGGTTGATGTTTCTAGTAATATACTAGCTGTGCCCTTGTCATATATGTACTTTATTTTGTTGAGGTATATTCCCTCTGTACCAAGTTTGTTGAGGGTTTTATTGTGAATGGGTATTGAATTTTGTCAAATGCTTTTTCTGTATCTTTTGAGATAATCATGATTTTTATCCTGCATTTTGCTAATGTGGATCATAATGATTTTGCAGATGTTGAACTGTCCTTGTATCCCTGAAATAAATCCCACTTGATTATGGTATATAGAGAGAACATACTTCAACATATTAAAGGCCATATATGACAAGCCTACAGCTAACTCATAGTGGTGAAAAACGAAGCTTTTCCACCCAGATTGTTCAAGAAGAGGCTAGGAATGCCCACTCATCACTTTTATTCAGCATAGTACTAGAAACTAACCACAGCAATTAGGAAAGAAAAAGAAATAGTATCCAAATCAGAAAGCAAGAAGTAAAACTTTTCCATTTGCATATGACATGATATTATATATAGAAAACCCTGAAGACTGCACCAAAAAATTGTTAAAACTAATCAACAAATTCAGTAAATATGCAGGATTCAATATAAAAGGGTTGTGTTTCTATGCAGTAATAACAAAGTATTACAATTACACCAAAAAGAAGAGCTAGAAATAAATTTATCAGAGGAGGTGAAAGACCTGCACACTGAAAACTATAAAACATTGATGAAAAATATTGAAAAGACAAATGGAAAGATACTCCATGCTCATAGAAGAATAATATTATTAAAATGTTTATACAAGCAAAGCAACCTATAAATTTAATACATTTCCCATCACAATTCTCATGGTATTTTTCACAGAAATAAAACTCCTAAAAATTTGTATGGAATCAAAAACCCCAAGTAGCCAAAGCAATCCTGAGAAGAACAAAGCTGGAAGTAGCACATTTCCTGATTTCGAAAATTATTATAAAGTTATAGTAAAAACGATGTGGTATTGGCATAAAAACAGATCAAATGAACGGAATGGGGATCCAAGAAATAAACCCATGTATATATGATCAATTAACTTATGACAAAAGAGCCAAGAATATCCAATAGATAAAGAACAGTCTCTTCAATTAATGGTGTTAGGAAAACGCAATAGCCACATGCTGTAAAATGAAACTGAACCACTATCTTACACCGTAACAAACAATGAAATGGATTAAAGACAAATGTAAAACCTGAAACCACAAAATCAAAAGAAAACAAACCATAAACTATTTGACATTGGTTTTAGCAGGTTTTTGGGTTGGTTTTTTTGGTTTTTAAGATACGTCTCCTAGGGCAAAGGCAACAGAAGTAAAAAGAAACATTCGATTACATCAAAGTAAAAAGCTTTTGCCCTGCAAAGGAAACAACACCAAAAGGCAGCCTACTGAATGGGAGAAATATTTGCAAATCATGTATATGATAAAAGGTTAATATCCAAACTATATAAAGAACCAAAGAGCCCAACATCAAATAAACAATTAGATTTAAAAATGGGCAGAGAACCTGAATAGAAATTTCTCCAAAGAAGACATACAGATAGCCAACAGACCCATGAAAAGATGTTCAACATCACCATCAAAGAAATGCAAATGAAAATAACAATGAAGCACCTGTCAGCATGGCTATTCTCAAAAAGACAACAAAAGTTAGGGGGAGAATGCGGGAAAAAAAACCCTCATGTACTGTTGGTGGAATTTTAAACTGGTGCAGCCACAGTGGAAAACAGTATAGAGAATCGTCAAAAAATTAGCCTTTTTCTCATTTAGAAAATAAAAGTGTAGCTCGTTGCCAGTGTTCATTTAACATCACTCATAGGAATGCTATGTTTTCTAGGCTTTGACATTTTCAGCGATCAAACTACTAAAAACAGTGTTTTAAGTAGAATGATTTCATTTGTTTCTAAAGACTATGGATATACTAGAGCAACGTGAAAAATAATAATAAAAGTAAGATAGTTCATGGCAAATTTTGGGGGTGAGGTTAGCACTGTAATCTGCGAGTTATCTTGGGGTAAACGCTGTAGCCGCAAGCGCTGTAGGGTGAGTATTCTCGAGGCAAACGGGAAAAGAGTTAAAAATAGAACTAACATATGATCTAACAATTCCACTTCAAGGTACTTATCCAAAGAAATCAAAAACACTAATTCAAAAAGGTATATGCACCCCTATGTTTATTGCAGCATTACTTACAATAGCCAAGATATGGAAGCAACCTAGGTGTCCATCGATGAATGACTTTATAAAGATGTGGTAGTGTGTGTATGTATATATAATGGAATATTACTCAGCAATAAAAAAGCAGTGAAATCTTGCTATTTGTAACAACATGGATGGACCTAGAGGGTATTATGCTAAGTGAAATCAGAGAAGGACAAATACCATATGATTTCACTTAAATGTGGAATCTAAACAAAACAAATGAACAAACAAAATGGAAACAAATTCATAGATAAAAGGAACAAACGGATGGTTTCCAGAGGGGAAGATGGATAAGGGATAGACAAAAAAGGTAAAAGGAATAAAGGATTTAACAAGTACAAATTATCAGTTATAAAATAATTTATGGGGATGTAATGTATAGCATAGGGATATAGTAAATAATATTGTAATAACTATAT